CTGCACCGCAAGATTGGGGGCCCCACACCCACGTCCATGCCGGCACTGGCGCATCTCCTCCGTCGCCGGTGGCAGTGTGTGAGTGGGGCGCCTGCGTCGTGAGGATAGAAGGAAGAGATGGGATTGGAAGAAGAGAGGAGGAAGAGATGGTTCTCAGCCTTTTCCAATTTTGGGCAATTTTGGAGCGTTTCCCGTGTTTTCTAATTTTGGGTTGTTTTGCACAGAAAACGTTCAAAATGATAAAAATGTCATTTTCTGTTTTCAATACAATTTTTTTTTTGTTTTCAAAAACGCGTTTTCGAAAATAGGAAAGAGAACGCGTTTGCACTGTTTTGGAAAATCGAAAACAGAAAACGGCTTTAATACGACAAAGAGAACAGGCCCTAAGAGTTTCATTAGCTTGTTTGAATTTATTACAAGACTCAAGAACTTGACTCAACACATGATTTGAAGGATGACCTAATCTCATATGCCAAACATCAAGTTCAGACTCAAACACTTTGACTACTTGGGCTGACTCTTCACAACTGGAGCTTACTGTGAAAGTTGGATGCCAAAGTTGGATTTATTTTGATGATTTGACTCTGTCGCTTTGTGCTGTGGTTTGTGACCTGGTAAGTTCAACCGATATAGCCCATCCTTAAGCATCCCTTGTAGCAGGATCCTCCTCGTTTGCAAGTCCTTCACAACACAACAATCAGAGAAGAATTCCATAAACACTTTGTTGTCACTGGTGAGTTGAGAGACACTAACAAGGTTTCTCTTAATCGAAAGCACATGTAATAACTTGTTTAATAAGAGAGGTTTATCAATTAGTGTAGGAACATTACCATTCCCTATATGTGCAATGTGTAGTGAGTTTCCATCACCAACCAACAATTTCCCTTTACCTTCATACTTGGTGCCAGTATGCAGATTACCTCATTCAGCTGTCAAATGATTGCTTGCACCGGAGTCCACAAACCAGGATGGATCCTTAAGGGTTTGAGGTGATGCCACATATGCAGAAGGTGCAAAGTTGTTATTTTGGTGCCCTTGATTGTTTGGTTTGCTACCCATATACCTTTCATCATATCGATTGAAGCGCCAACTTGCTAAATGATTATGGAGTCCACAAATTTGACATGGCCCACTGTTTTCATTTTGTCTCCCAGCCACAGTTCTACTTCTGCCTCTTGCTCTCCCACTGAAGCATGCTGATCTTACATTGTTGGTTCCTCTAAAACCTCTTCCAGTTCTTGGATAATTTATGTGGACCAGATGAACACTAGACTGACCAACATTCATTGAGGCAAAGTTGTTCCTGACTTGATTGAGATATTCCAGTCTGCTTTCAAATGTTATAAGCACAGATGATAACTCATACCAGGAGATGGTATCCCTACCGTTAATTTGTACTACTATGGAGGTGTAATCCTCATCCAGACTTGAGAGTACTTGGGTTATAAGATACTTATGTTGATGATTTTTCTTGCGATTTCTAAGTTATCGGCCAATTGTTTGACAGTGGTGAGGTATTGGTCCATAGTCATGGATCCCTTCCTTATCCTTTGCAATTCCCCAGTGAGGAACACCACTCTCGACTTGTTCAATATGCCAAAGTTCTCTTCCACTACTATCCATAGTTTACTTGAACTAGTACATCCCATAACTTTTACTGCTATCTCTGGAGTCATGGCTGTATATCCATCCAATCAACAATTGGTCAATTGAAATCCACTTATTATACTCTGGATTCTAGATCATTTCCACAGATTCTCCTTGGCCAACGCATGTTTGAGTAGTCAGGAACTCTGCTGGACATACCTTTGTCCCTAGCAGATATCCTTCCAAATTGTGTCCTCTAATAATAGGCATAACCATGTTTTTCCATAGGATGAAGTTATTTTTGTCGAGTTTCACTGATGTGGTCTGAGTGAGATTCATTCAAAATGGCGTGTTGAACCTTACAGCAACTGGAATGGCTGGTGCTGAGCTTAACTCGGTTGGAATGGATTGATTCCTAGTGTTAGCCATGATTTTGGCTCTGATACCAAGTTAAGAAAATGAGAAAATGATTGGAATTTCTACTTGAATTAATTACCAATTGATTATTTACAATGGTTTAAATAAGCACTGAAGCTATACAAGCAATTTACATACAGGGAACATTCTAGAATTGATTTGCCAGGTGTCTAACTAACTTGACATTCCACTCCTAAAATTCAGGAAGAACAGCAGCTGGTGCCACGGTTCAGCTGTGCATTTACCATGTTGGTAGTACCATTTTAACTCTCTCTTTCTCTAAAGTTGAAATTGTATACAATTATTCTTAGAAGCTATAAGACTATAATGAATTATGAACAGGCATGACAAAGTATGGAGGCCTTCCTAAACTGTGTTTAGAAGAGAGAAAAGTTGAATTTTCTTCGGTAAAATGACCCTTTGCAATTTGCATCTTCTTTTGTGTGTGTGTGTGTGTATGTGTGTGTACACGTTCATTTTCCTCGTCGAAAAATTTCTTTTTCCTTTTTCAATTGGAAACTTGTCTGGGTAAGAAGAAACCTGAGGAATATGTAAAGTTGAGTATCACATGCTCCAAAGAAACACGTTTTGCACGGGAGCTGCCTTCGTTGCTAGACAAAGGGGCGGGGCTATTGAAGAAGATGATGGTTGGATTGTCACTTTTGTGCACAATGAAGATACAAACATATCTGAGGTATGGAAAATGTTGTTTCACCACCAGTAATTCATTCTATTTGCTGTTACTAGTTAAAATTCCAAGAGAAGATAGAATTTGCAATCAGCCGGTTTTCTCTATTTTATCATTGATCAGACCTTCAAGGTTAAATAATACAATGGAATGTACAAAGAATAATCTAGAATGGAAAGCTGTTAGTTTGTTCCTAAAATGGTGGATCTTGTCTTGAATATTTTACAATAGATTTGGTGCTAATGCTACAAGCAAAATCGTATCAGTTTAGCAAGAAAGGAACTGCTGATGCAATGCTCCAGCTGGTGTATGAGTTGGCTGATTCTCAGCTCATATGGCTATAGAATTGGGACGTAGGTAAGGTAGTTAATTCAGTTAACACCCTCCCTTAAGCTGGAAGGTGCTAAAGTAACTCCCAGCTTGTCTTTTAGTAAAAGAAATCTTGAATGACTTAGTCCCTTAGTTAGTAGATCAGCAATCTGATATGAGGTAGGTACATATTTTACTTTGAGCTCTTTGGCAATAACCTTATCTCTGATGAAGTACACATCCAATTCTATGTGTTTCATCCTGTCATGGTATACTAGATTAGCTGCTAAGGCTCCTGCACTTATATTATCACACCATATAGTTGGAACTTCAGCCAGAGGTAATTCCAGTTCTTGGAAAAGCAACTGAACCCAAGTTATTTCTGAGGTTGTTGAAGCAAGTGCCCTATATTCTGATTCAGTACTAGTTCAGGAAATTACACTTTGTCCCTCAACTATTGGCCGATATGCAATTTGATTCCCTAACTTTCATCCTCTTGCACTAAGGCCATAATTTTCATAATTAACAACTATAAAAGATTTTGGGGGTATTACACATATTTTCCCTGCCTTTTGGATTTGTATTGATGGATATATTATATAGTTAAAACATAGTAATTTTAGCGTTCTATCTTTTGTTTGTTAAGCAACAGCTATTTGGCATTAGTTAATTTTTTCACACCAACTACGACATAAAGGTTGGTGTCGGAAAATAAATTATAACTTACTAAAAGATTTTATGTAGTTCAAGATCCAAGGAGGCTAGGAGTCGAGATTTTTTTTTCCCTGAATTGTGTTATTATTGACTTTAATTCTAAATAAATGATGCTCAATTTAATTAGGATCAAGTTGATAGTTTTAGGAGTTTAGGGATCTAGAGTGCAATTTCAATTATGTCTAGTGATTAGCATTTTTTTCGATATTAGCCTCAAGGTGGATTGGTTTTGATATGATTACATGAATTTTTTTGCTAAATTTTGATAGATTTTAGATTCTTGATTACCCTTGTTTGAGTCTCACTTTTTCAAAACTCATCTTTTTAAAAAAGAATTCATTTTCAATCATATATTTTTCAATAAAATAATTTTACACATAAATTTTAAATTTTTATCTACTTTTTAACCATGCATTCTCCAAAAAAAAAAAAAAAAAAATGAGGCTCAAACAGGCCTTAATGAAACTGTGGTTATTGTTATCGGACTCTTTGCTCTCGGTATCCTTGATTAGTTTGGTGCTTTTCATTTTTGTGATTTTGTAATTTCCGAAGTTTTATAAGTTAAATTAATCTATTCCATTATTTGAGTTTGGGATTATTCTATTCAGTAGTAGATCTAGCTGCTTTCTACCTTAGGAATTGTAACGACCAAAANTAAATTTTTATCTACTTTTTAACCATGCATTCTCAAAAAAAAAAAAAAAAATAATAATAATAATAATAAATCACTATTTCAAATTTTATTAACCCAAAAAAATGGGCTCGAATAATCAGGTTAAGAGTTATATTGATAGTTTACCATCACGTCTCAATAGTAATCTCTTAAACATCTTGTAACAGAAATATTTCATTTAATAAAATTATAGTCAATGGGCTGAAGGAAACCTTTTTAATCTAGTGTAGTTATCACTGTATGTCCCACATCATTTAAACAAGTTAATTAAATGAATGATAATTAAACTTATTCTTAATTTGTTACTTAACGAACAAAAAAAGCCAATCATTGTTCACTCAACTATTCAAGATATTATTTTACTTTAGAGTGAAATTCTTTATTTACACATAACGCAAATTATTATATGTCCGATGAAAATCAGACAAGACACCTTGATGACGTTAAATTGTGAGTTAATTAAATCAATACTCGTTATCCATTGTTCACCCATCTATTCAAGCTATTATCATCCATAATTAACCCTTTTTTGTTCACTGAGCATATATTAATCTATGGATAAGTTTAATGAGCATTTATTTAGTTAACCCGACAATTAAACATCATCAAGGTGTCATATCTGAATTTCGTTGGACATGTGACAATTTTCATCAAGTAAGAATAATATATTTCATTCGATGAATGGATAACAGTTTAAAATACATGAGTGGGCACTATGTAACTTTTTTTGTTCAATAAATAGTAAAATATGGATAAATTTAATTAGTATTCATTTAATTAACTCCATATAAACGTACAAATAAGGCCAAAGAATAGATCTCTTTGTAAGGCCAAAAATGATACTCTAAACACCAAATTTTCAAACATCATGTATGATATACAACCTCCATATAATAAGCATACAAATAAGGCCAAAGAATAGATCTCTTTTTAAGGTCAGTTTCTAGAAGTAACAGTTTTCTCTAAATTGTTTCTTACATTCGCGCGCGAGAGAGAGAGAGAGAGAGAGAGAGATGGCTAGTACATTGCAAGTGAATTGCTCCAAAGAAAGACCTTCGCTTTCCCACAAATTTGATGATCATTCCAGAGGTTCACTCCCTTCTTCTTTGAGTTTTAAGGTAACGATTATGCATGTTTCATTTGTCATCATAGGGACAAGTTCGTTTAGTAAGCCGAACAGGATAATAACAAAGAAGAAAAAAGAAGATATGATATTGTCCAGTGCAACATAATTTAGTGTACCAAACGTTCCTACAAGATATATGTGATTTTGAATATTATTTGATTTTGATCTGGCTATAATCAAGAAACTGATTTTGTTATCCAGCCACTCTTCAGAAAGTTTCAGCAGAATCCCATTTTGGCTAATGTTCCCAATATCATTAAGGAGGCTTCAGTGAGAATAATAGATATATTTGTTGATTTGGCGTTTGAATTCGTGGACCAGCCATTGCTCCCATCGCAGGTACTGATGGTACAAATGAAAACACCCCCCACACCACACCACCTCCAAATACACTCGCACGTTTTTGGAGTGGAAGATTGTATAGCACAGAACACTATTAGAGAAGAAAAAAAGTTTAGCCCCTGTTTGTCTACCATTTTTCAAAAAATTGTTTTCTACAGTAATCAATATATACCACATATTCAAATAATAAAATCTTCTAAACATAAACCGATAAAATTTCTTTAAATTTCAACCACACATTTTCCAAAAAATACTATTCATTACACCATTTTCTTCTCAATAATGGTTGACAAACAGGCACTTAGTGTCTAGTTCTATTTATTACTGCATACAAAATACGACTTTAAGATTTTGTGTCATATATAGCCTGAATTTCAAAATACGGATGAATACGAAATATGTTGGTTGTATTTAAGATGATCTTTGGTGTTTTCACTATGGCTCCTGGGGAAAACAGAGTAATTTTGCTCCGGTAGAAGAACTGGGAGAAGCTATTCGTGTTACCAGCATAGAAGGAAGGATCCCAGATGATTTCCCGGAGGGTGTTTACATTAGAAACGGTATGCTAATTGGTTCGATCTTTGCACGAAATACAGACAATCTGTTAACTGTCAAAATTTATGTTTGTTGAATTAGATTGTGCAATTTACTCGTTGGAGAGCTATGCCTGTTTTTACTGTTAAGAACAACGTATGGGTCAGCACAAAGTCAGATTAGTTCTTGAAAATTCTAGTTTACGAGCCAGGTTCTAAAATGTGTCATGTCGGCTAAGAAAAAATCCAAAAAATGGAGGAATTCTTCTCAGTGTCTTTTCTCCAATGATATTCTATCTTATTGTCCCAGAAAGACCAATTAGAAATAAAAAAATAAGACTTGATAGTTGATTTGTTGGTAGATTATGGAAGCAGTAAAGAGGACAAATAGGTAAATGAAAGAAGTAAAAGACAGAAAACATTGTTCATTATAAGTTTAAAAGAACAATGTCCTTTTCCTTTCCCTTATTATAATTCCAAACTTGACCTTTTCTTTTTCCCATGTTATTTGGTTGATTCACTGAAATAGTACTAAATAACGGATTTCATTCTTAAAAGTAGCAAATTGGGACCATTTTCTGGCTAAGTTATTTCAATGCAGAATTGCTAGCTCAATTATTGCTTTCGTGTTATTTTTGTAATTATTCAATACAATCGTGCTAAGAATAAGAATCACATAATTAATTGATAGTTCGAAATTCATACATGCGGAAGACATTGTTATGTATGAATATTATCGGTTAAATCTTCCTCTCCTTGCTCCTCAAAATAATCAACCATCAATGGGGCAAGTCAAAACGATATGGAGTTAGAGGAGAGGGGATCTAGCCATTATATAGGAAATCATAAAGTCGGCCAATTACCGACTCTAACCCTAATTAGGGTTTATATAATTACGGTCCACATACTCAAAATTACCACATTATAATAATAAAGCCCGTAAGGTGTACAACGGCCCAAGTGATCACTAATATATTGGGCCCAATCATAGTATCATTGCAAACCATACATCTAACCCGTAGAATTCGCAATCAACGGAAGCCCACAAAATAGAGTTATTATAACATTTTATATGATGTAGTTATTGTCCATGTAGGCCCGAATCCTTTATTTGGAGGATTAAAATCGACAAAATCCGTGTTTGGGAAATCAAGCCACACCTGGATAGAAGGTGAAGGAATGCTTCATGCTTTGTATTTTGTTAAAGAACGTGATGGCAGATGGATCACTTCCTACAACAACAGATATGTCCAAACCGATACGCTCAAGTTAGAAAAGAAAAGAAAGAAACCAGCATTTCTTCCAGCTATTGAAGGGGATTCTCATGCAGTGTTGTCAGCTTTTCTACTAAATTTGGTAAGCTGATTCAATCAAAATTTATTGATTTACTCTGTAGCCTCACTGAAATCAGAATAGTTCCCTTCGTTGGTACACTACTAATTAGTGTGAAATCTAATCGGGTTCAGAGACTTTTTACTGATTCGTGTTAGCACGAGATATATGCACACTCCACGCAACTCTAGCTGCATTTCTGATTTTGGCAGTTAAGATTTGGCTTAGTGGATAAATATCTTAGCAATACGAATGTCTTTGACCATTCGGGGAAGTTCTACTCAATTTCTGAGAATCACATTCCTCAAGAGATTGACATTCGTACATTAGAAACTCTCAGAAATTGGGACATCAATAAAGCGTGGCGTAGGCCATTCACTAGCCATCCTAAGGTAGTTCTTTGAACCTGTAAAAGGCTTGAAAAATCCACGATTTAACCTATTCAATTTGTTTTTCGACAATGGTTTTTGACATTTTAAGTGAAACAGAAAGCTCCAGACACTGGAGAGCTTGTGATTATGGGGATCTCTCCAAGAAAGCCTTACTTTGAACTCGGAGTTATTTCAGGTATAGAAATGCAACATAAAGCTCCTTTATATACAAGTAAATATGATAATTTTAAACATTGCATTTTTTTTTTCAGCTGATGGAAAGAAATTAATTCACAAAGCCGATCTCAAATTAAATAGGTGTTGCCTTTGCCATGAACTAGGAATTACGAAAAGGTAGTCTGTTTATTTTAAGGCATTCATTATGGTGTTTGATATCAGAATAGATTGGATTTTTCGATTTAATGCATCCTCTTTTTCAGATATAACGTGATCATGGATTTTCCTATAACTATAGACATGGATCGACTCATAAGAGGAGGATCGTGAGTATTCTTCATGTTTAATTTTAAGAAACTCTCAATTCATATGTAGCTCATTTAAGATTATACTTATCGAAGAAGAAATACTTAATTTGAATCTGTGTAATTTGTGGACATAGGTTAATCAAGCACGATAAAGAGGACATGCAAGGATTGGAATAATGCCCCGTTATGGTGATGCAGATTCCGTCCAGTGGTTTGAAGTTGAACCAAGCTGTACATTTCACATTATTAACTGTTACGAGGAAGGCAATGAGGTAATTGGCAGTATTTTTTGATGTCTTGCCAATGAATCCGTAAGAGAAAAAATTATTGTATGGTGTCCAATCGACATTTTTCTATATGTTTGGATGGGAGGAACAGGTGGTCATGTTGGCATGTCGAGCCCATGGTTCAGTCATACCAGGACCTGATTATGGTTTAAACAAATTTGAATGGTTTTCTAAAGGGTTTAAGCATACAAGTTCCATTGAAGAAATTGATGAAAAATCACAAGGATCATTTTTCTCTCGTGCATATGAATGGAGATTGAATATGCATTCCGGAGACGTGGAAGAGAGAAATCTCACTGGAACAGAATATTCTATGGATTTTCCGATCATGAATGAAAAGTTCGTTGGTCTTGATAATAAGTTTGGGTACACACAGGTGATCGATTCAAATGCAAGCTTCATATCAGGTAGAATTACATTTTCCTCTTAAAAGTTGCTGTAACCTATTAATGGATAGTAAAAGTTTCCCACAGGCATGGCAAAATATGGAGGGCTTGCCAAACTTTACTTCAAGGAAAGGAAACTCGAACTTCTCCTGGTAAACTTCCCTTCTAAATTCTCCTAGTGTATATTGGACTTTGAGGAGCCTAATTATACTGTTGACTTATCCCCTTTAAAGCGGATTGACCTATTTTCCTACTCTATATAAAAGGATTTGAGGGGAGCGTCTTCCGTGTGTTTTGTTTCTGTTTTATTCATTATTTCTATCAGGATTGAATCAGTGTTTACATTTTGCTGGTCTCCTTAGAAATGAGTTTTTTTGAACCAGGATAAGAGACAACACGAAGAAGAGTTGATAAAGGTCGAGTATCATAAGTTTCCACAGAATACATTTTGCACCGGAGCTGCCTTCGTTGCAAAACCCGAGAGTCGTGAAGAAGATGGTGGATGGATCATTACATATGTACACAATGAAGACAATAATATATCTCAAGTAAATTGTCTTTCCATAGTTTGAATGTTTAGAGTGTTATCTTTGATTAGGTGATGGTAAAATAACATGTATATTTCTTGGCTATAGGTGTATATAGTTGACACACAGAAACTTTCAGACGGGCCAGTCGCCAAGATTACACTACCAAGTAGAGTCCCATATGGATTCCATGGGGCTTTCATGCCAATACGTTAAACCTACGAATTCATTTGGATCTGCTACTGTTAATATTGTCCGGATTTTGATCCCAAGTCGTACAGGTATTTGGTTTAGCATTCTAGCTACTACACTGTCGATTATAAGTAACTTTCTTTTGAAAGTATTGAGAGTTGATACAAGTTACCAAGGAATGCATAACTAGAGGTCGACAGTACTTCCACTAAATGAAGTCCTTTTGTAATAAGTGGAAATTAAGTATTTTTTTTTTTCTTTTGATTGGAAGAGTAGTTTACAACGAGGGAGAGAGAAAATAAATGCCGGTAAATGGGTAAATAGTGGTTGCATATGAATGAAATGATATGGTGACACTTGTGAAACTCTTCGAGAAGTGATCAGACATTCTTGAAGGAATAGTTGCTCTCGGAATTAAATTTTGGGAAAATTTCATGTCAGTTTCATATCTAAGAAACAAGGTTTATTATTTAAAAATAATATATTAATTAAATATTTTAAGATAACGATATTATAAAATTCATTGTCACAGTTATATATTAGTCACAATTACAAACGTTACAGTCACAAATTACAAATTTTATAGGCCAACTTATTTCTTAGTCAAAACTTTATCAAATTAATATGTTACATATTATTCCTTGATCACAAATAACAAATTTTATAAGTCACAACTTATTTCATGATCACAAAATATTGCATTAATTAGTCACAAATTATTTCTATGTTACAAATTATCAAATTATTGATCAAAACTTAACAAATTTCTAAGTAACATATTATTTATTAGTAAAAAATTATCTATTTCGTTGATTACGTATTATTTATTGTCATACATTAACCAATTAATTGGTCACAATTAATCAAATAATTTGTGACCACCACCTCACCAATGCCTCTAGCAACACCACCGTCAAAACCACCGCAACGACGACAACTATGATATCAACCAACACCAACATATGATATCACTATGATGGCTACACCACCATCGCCTGCACCACCGTGACCACCACAACTACCAACTGCATCAACGCTGTTGTAGCACCCGAAAATTTTAGAATAAAATT